AGTCCAATCAGAAGGAGCGGTTTTGTCCTCCTTCCTGTGCCAAATAATGTGATTGGCTGGAAGGCTAATGGTAATGCTAGTAGTGTGATTAGATGGCTAGTCATCAGTGGCTTTTGCGCCTACAGGCTACAGCACTCAAAGGTTAAGTAAACTTAAAATATTTCATGATCTTCCATCATGCTTACTTCTAGCATTACAAAGAAAAAAAATCATTAAAACAGACAAGGCTTCCTGTAGGAAGGAAGGTGGAACTGAGCATTGCCTGTATTTTATGAAGTGAGATCAAGTCATTGAAGCAATTTAAATCCCCCTTTTAGCTAGAATCGTCAAAGTGATTTCAAACGTTTATGCTGGCATAAAACTGAATGCGGTTCTCAATATATTTATTTCATGTGCATTGCCACTTTCACATGCCTCATACGGAGTTGGGCGTCACTGACTCCATATGCGATCTTCCAGTGTTTAATATCATGGCGAGAATAAATGTGTAGTAGGGGGCAGTCTTTTAAGTGCTACACTCTTCTTCCACTTTCTTTTTGTTGTAAGGCGTTTTACTCGTATGGCCCAGCTATGAACAGATTTGGGGTTCTTTAGATTGACTACTGATTTACATCGACTTAATGTGATTAGTGAGGCCACTAAAAAGTTAATCCCACGATCTCTATTTTCAATCAGTCAGGAGAGGATGGGCAAATGTGGCCTGGTCTAGGAGTTTTTACAATAACAGCCACATACAAGGAGACTTCTGTGGCTACGGGCATTCAAACGAAATATCAGTAATCCATAAGTAATGGCATCATCTTCAGCAGGTCCACTAAAACTCTTTTATCAACAAAACTAATTTTCATACTGTTTAAACTAAATTCAGATTTCGCGTAGCAGTCGTTCCTTTTAAAAGCATTTCAGCATTGCAAAATGGATTGTTTTGTTTTAATCAGTAACACATATTCGCACATCAGAGTTGCATTAATTCACGCTGGAGTTAAGGAATTACTTTCAACATTTGCTTGAGCCTGAAAGCTATCAAAACATTTGTAACCATTTTATGTAAGAAGATGTAGGAAGTCAATAGTAAAAGTGGAAGCCCTAATCAGTAACAATTTTCATGACTTCAAATTATTTCTTCAATGCCTATTTATTTCTGTACCTTGGCGTTCTGGTCTACTCTGTCTTATTCTGTTCTATCTTATTCTATTCTCTTCCGGG